GTCGCAGCGCCCCGGGCTCCGGTGCCTATCAGCGGCTACCCAGACCCTGGGCCAGCTGCAAACATCTTCTGCCTCTCTGCCTCGGCCCCATCTGCCTCCGAGCTCTGGGGAGGCAGCAGATACCGGCGATGCTCCCCGCTGTGCTGTACTGCCCTCCCCGCTGCTTGTGCAGAGCAGCGTTGGAGCCCGGCGCGGCAGGGCACAGCGAGGGCTCAGGAAGCTGCCTGTCACTCCAGACTCCCCGTTGGCCTAGCCATGCTTCCCCTGCAGGCGGGGGCAGCAGCAAGGGGCGCAACCCTGCGTGCTACCCAAGCTACTCCTGTGCACCCAGGGGAAGTGTGCCCTGGGCAGCGTGGAGCTTACAGCAGCAAGCAGCTTCCCTGCGCGGCCCCTCCCTGCGCTGCCACTCCGGCGCGCACCGCTCCGGAGGACCCAGGGGAGGGCAGCAGGGCTGGGAGCACAGCGTGAGCGACCCAGAGCGGCAGCGCACAGAGGGGCCACGCAAAGAAGTTGCCTGCTGCTGCAAGCTCCGCGCTGCCCGGGTCACGTTTCCCCTGTGTGTATGGGAACAGCGTGGACAGCACGCAGGGTTGTGCCCCTTGCTGCTGCCCCCGCCTGCAGGGGAAGTGTGGCCAGGGCAGTGGGGAGTTCAGAGCAGCAGGCAGCTGTGCCCCCCGCTGTGTCCTGCCGCGCCGGGTTTCACATGCTGCTCTGCAGAAGCAGCGGGGAGGGCAGTACAGCGGGGAGCATCGCCGGTATCTGCTGCCTCCCCAGAGCCCGAGGCCGGGAGGCAGCTGGGGCCAGGGATGAGAGGCAGCGGATGTTTGCAGCTGGCCCAGGTTCTGGGTAGCCGCTGCTAGCCACTGAGCCCGGGCTGGGGCTTTGGGTGGGGGGCAAGGGGCAGCAGGGCTGGGGGGCAGGGGGTTTGGGTGGGAGGCAAGGGGCATGAGCAAGGTATCCTGCCATGTACCCCCCTGACCTTGTTTTGTTTTTCTGTCATGCTGGCACTCTAGCACCTTCCAAGGTAGGCATTGTTGGTTTTTTGGGCACTCCGACCAAAAAACATTGCCTACACCTGGTCTAAGGACCCAGGCAGATTAGGTTCTTTGGGTAGGTGTGATATTTTAGATTTCATAGACATTCAGGCTGGAAGGGACTCCGGAGGATCATTGAATCCAGCCCCCTACCCCAGGGACAGGAAGTCAGCTATGGTCAAAGAATCCCAGCAAGATAAGCATCCGAATATGGCTTGAAGGCGTTCAAAGTGGGTGCTTGAATTGCCTCCGGTGGCAGTCTATTCCAAACCTTGGGGACTCGGACAGTAAAGAAGTTCTTTATGTCCAGCCTGACTCAGTTGCGGCAGAGTTTGTGACCATTTGATCTCGTCATCCCTTGGGGCGCTCTGGTGAACAGACGTTTCCCCAGATCCTGATGAGCACCCCTGATAAACTTACAGGTGGCCACCAGATCGCCCCTGAGCCTGCGCTTTTCCAGGCTGAAAAGCCCCATGGCTCTCAGTCTCTCATCATAAGGTCTGTTTTCCTGACTTCTGGTCGTGCACGTGGCTCTGCTCTGCACTCTCTCAAGCTTCTCCACATCCTTTTTAAATTGTGGAGCCCAAAACTAGACACAGTCCTCCTGCTGCGGCCTCACCAAGGCCAAGTACAATGAGAGAATGATGTCCCGGGATTTGCTTGAGAAGCATCTATGGATGCAAGCCAGCATTTTGCTCACTTTACTAGCTGCAGCATCACACTGAAGGCTCATGTTCCTCTTGTGGTCAATGATGACCCCCAAGTCCATTTCATCTGTAATGCTAACCAGCGTAGCACTGCAGGTTTTTCCTCCCACAGTGGAGAACCTTGCATTTTTTGGTGTTGAACACCATCAGGTTCTCGTCTGCCTTTTTCATGAGCCTGTCAAGATCTGCCTGGATCACCCTCCTGTCCTCAGGTGTGGATGCTTTACCCCAAAGTTTGGTGTTGCCGGCAAATTTGGCCAGTCCGCTTCTGACACCAATGTCTACATCATTGATGAAGACGTTAAATAGTATAGGCCCTAGGACAGAGCCTTGAGCCATCATGTTGCCATCAGCCAGTCTGTTAAGGATGGACTCTTTGATAATCTTTTCCAAGACCTTCCCCAGGGTAGAGGTCAGGCTGATGGGCCTGTAGTTAGCCAGATCCACTTTCCTCCCTTTCTTGAAGATAGGCAGCACATTGGCCTTCTTCAAATCTTCAGGCACTTCACCAGAGCACCAGGAGTTCTAGAAGATCCGTGCCAGGGGCTGGGCTATGATGCTTGCCAGATCCTTGAGTATCCTGGGGTGTAGATTGTCAGGGCCGGCTGACGTGAAGGTGTCCAGCCTCTCAAGGTGTTCCTTCATGAGGTCGGCATTGATGGAGGGCAAGGAATCTCCCTCACCCAGGCTTCTCTGACCCACAGTGGGCAGGGGCGTCCCATGGGACTGGTGAAAAACTGACGCAAAGTACCCATTTAGCAAGTTTGCTTTTTCCTGGGCATCGGTTGTCAGTTGTCTGATCTAGTTTAACAGGGGTCCAATGCCCCCCTTGCTTTTCCTCCAGCTCCCCACGTATCTAAAAAAGGACTTTTTATTGTCCTTGATACTCGTAGATAGCTGGAGTTTCATGCAGCCTTGGCTTTCCTGGTCTGCTCTCTGCAGGTCCGGACCAGAGCAGAGTATTCCTCCTTGGTGGTGAATCCAGTCCTCCATCCTTTGTAGACTATTTGGAAGAAAGTTCTTGACAAACTTTCAGGCACAAACCCCCTTTGCCGAGCACGGAGAGCAGAGTCTCCCAAAGCCTGAAGAAGGGTGTCTGTGCCCAAAAGATGGCAAAGAACTCCTCCCCCCAACTATTGAGTCGGTCTAATGAAAGAGATCACATCTACCTCCCCTATCAAACCTTCACATGCTTTCTTGCCAAGCAGCTCAACCATCTCATTAGAACCGAGGACAAAAGGGTGAGCTCACAACGTGGTATGCTTTTTCTTGTTGATATTATTATTTTTAAAAGTGCGTCAGTAATTATCTACTTATGTTCCCTGCACCCGCAGCAGAGTCCTAAAGGAGGATGCGCCCCCATTTATAGTTTCTCAGGGGCTCTGCGAATGAAAAAAGGTTGACAACCACGGAGCCCAAATCGCTCCTGCCTCCCTGCGTCGGCTGTGGGAACACAGCAGCACCCGGCTCTAGCCCTCCCCCGTTATTCCCGGCTGTCCCGCCCTCTCCGTGAAGGGTACGGGAACTGGGTCAGCCGGCACCAGATGTACCGGGTCCGGATTAAAGGGGCGGGGGCAGACGGGGCAGTCTAGCGCGCGGGTTACATCGCCACGCCTCCGCACACCTTTTCTCCCCCGCACCCCCGAC